ACGCTGCCATGCTCTGCACATTTCATTGAATAGTATTGGAATAATCAAGATGTCAAGTGTAAAGCGCGTCTTTGTATCAGTATCCATAACGAACTTATGAAACACTTTCAAAATTCAAAATCGAAGAAGTGCTCAAAACATTTACAATAGTTGTCTCTGTAATTATTGTCATCATACCATTCGTACTACTCGATTTGGTCGAAGAGAACGTCGGTGTTTGGCCTTGACCATGGCTAAACAAGACATCGAAGACGAGAGCGTATTGATATCTCAGTTAATGAACCAGCAAGCGCGTAACCATGAGACACTATAGCGGCGTTTCAAGTCGGCCGAACAAGCAGCTTAAAAAAACATTGGTATTGCTGCGATAAGGAGTAGAATTGGCACTATGTGGAGAGTGTGAAAACTTTGTGTCGTTGTCAATAAGTAGATTAAGACTATGAAAACAAAAGAAGATAAAAAAGAGTCGTATTTTGTTCACTACGGATTTATGCAGTTCAAGGACTACTTTTTGAGAGTCAATAACGCGTTGCATCAATGTTTGGAAATCGCAGAAAAAGTATAGGCCATAGCAGTTAATCCGTTAAATCTACAAGAAAATTGACAAGCCCAACATCGCCCAACTCCATTGCCAGCGGTCACCATTCCGAAGTTTTCAGATAGTGTACTTGAGTGTGCAAAGTTTGAAGATTATTTTAAATCATTAATCATTCGAAATTCGACGTTAGATGATTTGCAAAAATTTTATTTTTTTCAAATATTACGTGGAAGGTGAAGCTGCTTCCTTGTTAAAAAATATTTCATTGACAGAAAGTAGTCTTACAACTGCGTAGGAGCGTTTAAAAATTCGTTAAAAAAATCCGAATAAAAATGTGGTTAGTGGAGTGAGTGATATCATAGTTTATCATCTTTCACGAAAATAGGACGCTAGAAAGCGTATGGCTTGGGAATTACATTTCGGTAGCACGAATGAATATCCTCATTTTTCGAAATTGCTCGCATTTATTGATTCACATATTTGCGCTTCGGAATCTTTAAAGCGAGAGATTGTAATTAAGCAAAAATCAAATGTTATACACTCTCACGTGGTTTTAAACTCGAATAATTCCCCATTTTGCGATGAAAATCATAAGTTGTACACTTGCAGGGCTTTTAAAGAGAAATTAGTGAAGCCTCGTTATCACTTTGTTAAAAATAAAACACCAACATTCAAAGAAATAAATACATTATTGTGACAAATGGAAATGTGCTTGAATTCTCGACCTTCGAGTCGGTTATTCGATGACCTTCAGTATTTAAAGGTGTTAACGCCGAGTCAGTTTTCGATTGGTGGCGGGTTAAACGCTGTTCCAGAACCATTACTTTTACACTTAAAGAAAAATCGTTTATCGCGTTGGCAACTGTGGCAACAACTGTTGAAGTCGTTTTGGACTCAGTGGTCACAGGACTATTTAATTTCTTTTTAACAAAGAAACAAATGGCATAAAACTAAAAATAACTTAAGTGTTAATCGAATTGTTTTAAACAAATTTAAAAAAAACTGTACCCCCTACAAAATAGGCGTTAGATCATGTTGTTAAAATTCACAAAGGTACTGACGAATAAGTCCGAGTAGTTACTGTACGCACAACGAGCAAAACATATCCTAGACCAATTTCTGAACGAGTGATATTTCCTGCTAAGCCTAAAGAGAACTTAATTTGCGTTTTAATAATTGTTTATTTTGCGAGCGAATTTTACCTTTCGGTCAAAGGGGCCAGTATGTTAAGGATCTGTTGGATAATTTGTGTATTATTTAATTATGTAATTTATATTGCACACCCTTTTCATATGGCTCCTCCTTAAGAAAATGCATTTCCTCGCTATGGTTCATGCGACACTCTTAATAGTTTGGTATGTCGTCTGTCTGTCTCACTCTCCTATGACAACAAACTTTTATAGTTTTTACCACGTTTAATATTTAATTTCTCCTTTCAAAAGGACCCTCGAGATGTTCAATAAAATTTAATAAGATTATTAGATATTTTTATATCATTGATAAAATTTTCATCTAAAGTTCATTATTAATAAGCGAGGTAAATAAAACAGAAGCGTTTAAAAAGAAGACAGTCCATAAGCTTACATGTAGGAATTAGCTAAGTATAAATAATAATTACTCGGCTCCTAGGAACCCTCATGCCTTCAAATTTTGACAGTGCCATTTTCATGATTTTATTTATTTGTAGATAAATTTTCATCAACTTTTTATTGTTAACTCTGTAATCGATAGAATTTCCTTAAACAAACGCGCGAAGCAAGCCGTCGTAGCTAGTGTAACTATAGTTTTATATTAAATACACACACAGGACTTGCACATAAATTTCAAGAGTAGATTTATTAAAAAACCTTTTAAACGTTTTTGGACGACCAATAATTAAGTGACGAGCTTATTAATCAGTAAATTCCCACGTCCAAACAGTTATTATTACTAATATTAAATGCAATTTTTTTTGTCGAACCAAAATATCAATAAACCGATTATGAAGTATGTAATATCACTTCAAAATTTCACTGTAAGAAATTAGTTCACAAAAACTAACAATTATTTTACAATTTTTCAAATAGCTATTTGTTGTGAAACTTAATATCTATGTTTCTTTAGGATTATGTTCAAATTAACATAGTAGTTTTTTTTACGCCGATCTCAAGTTTTTTGACATGAGAAATTTTCAATTTTTTGTTAGTTTAATACACGTCAATAATTTTTAAAAATGGTTCAACAACGGTAATTGGTGATATTTGAAAAAATACACTTAAGAATTTCGGTGATTGTACATATTACGAATAGTATTATTGTTATTCATTATTACTCAAATAATTACAGAAAAATTTTTAAATGATTTTATTTTTAAAACCTGCAGTGTTTAAAATACTTTAATTATTAAGTGTATTTATTAAACAGCACCAGTTACAGTTATCATATCATTATTTAAGAATCATTGACATCTGTTGAAACAACAAAAAGGCAAGTCTATAAGTAATTGTCTACTCTATCTAGTGGTACTTATAAATTTGTTGTATTTGCTATTGCTTTGGCTAGATATAGGTGAAATAAAATTATAAAAAGACTTTCAACATTGCTTAACCAATCAAAAAATTTTTTCGTTAATTTTCCGATAATCAGCGAGACAAAATATGCATAGCATCTAAAAAGCATCCATAGATTATCACTTATCTATTTCAGCTCCATCGACTTGCTTATGGTGACGTCGCGCCATCAGCCAAAAATACTATTTCTTTATTGATTGATTAAACAAAGATGGATTTGTTTAACTATCTGAAAATTTTAATATTAGTATATTAAGTCTCCCTTAACACGTAAGAACAGAAATTTTAAACTTTTTCCAAAATTTTGATCTTGTTCTAGTCACATTTTAAAAAGGTCATTTTTTGCAAACGTTAACAGTTTGCAAAAAGTTCACAACATTTTAATCTTAAATTTCCAATGTAATTCCAGGATCGCAGTACTAATATATAATAAAATATCAATTAAAATAACATATTAAAATTTTTAGCCCTTTATTAGTAGTAGAATGAAACTTAGAATTTTATAGTATAAATAAAAATTTTACAAAAAAGAGTTACTTTTGGAAATTGTGAGCGATTCCATGGTCCAATTATGCTTATATACGTTTGATTTTCTTTGTTCTTTTATCACGCACATTTGTTATTCAGAATATTATTTGTAAGAGCTGCATTTTTCGCTGTAGACGTAAAAACTGTTTTTTTACATTTTCACCATTTTTCGGCACTTGAGCTAATATAATCATTATTAAGTGTATTAAAAGATTATATTATATAAAATAATATATTAATTATTGATGTATTGAAAGTATCTTTACCTGTTTGTATTACTAGGTTAGAGATAAGTTCATCTGCACGTAAGTATACCGTCCGTATTACTTTTTACATCATGATCATGCAGAGCTTAAGTAACTGACGGTAGTTTCAGACGGAATGTGTCCATGAAAAACAAACCTGCAACACCTAAAGCTTTTTATGCGTGTAATTTGATTGATCGTGTGTGGAAATGATGGATCAACACGATATGATCTTACAAGTTCACAACGAAAAACTCATGAATTTTCTGGATCACAATAAACCAAATGGTACATTTTCTACTTTTTGAGGAGTTTTTGAGAAGTTGATGTACCCTCGGTAAGAAAAAAAGGATTAATCACATAAGCACTATCAACTCTGAAGCTGACAAGATCGACTAACAAGCTAAACGCACAGCCGATTTTTGTGAGAGCTTCCTGGTGATAAAATTACCGTGCATGTGAGCTCGCACCTTCCTCGTGCCTAAACGAATCCTGAAGTACCTATCAGGACATGGTGTATCATCGAGTGAGCAACAGTCTGGTAGGTGCAGTGTACATATGGTAGTGAAATAAGTGATCGACGAGCAGTTGAGCCACACCCATTTCCTGACGTTAATTGAGAACCATGCGAGAATTTGTTTTAAAGAAGCATTGACTTCTCCGCCATAGGGCAGGCCGTATTAAAGAGATAGTCGTAGACCGCGTGGTGTGCGCGATCAAGCCAAGCTGTCGTAAATGCTATTAACTATGAAAAGCTTTTTGTTATACTTTATTGTGTTTGGTGTGTTTGTATATAATAATAACGTGACCGTAAGGAGCGTAATAAGTGCGCCGACTGCTGGAGATTTTTTATGAGTATCCAAGATTGATGTTCTCTTTGACTGCACAGCATTAACGTGATAATTTAGAGAGCATATTTCACTCATTCTTGATGCAGTCGATGCATCTTACGCTTCCCTAACGTACGAATTTGTATTAAAAAGTTACATCCCCAGTCCTCCTTCACCACTGCTGTAATCCCCGGTAGTGGTGTGATAATATATATCACCAAAATTTAGAGACAATGTGCTAGTATCCAAATGTAATGAGAATTGTTTGAGTTTTTGTTTACATTTCTTTCGTATTAGACATGTGTGTATTTTAAATCTCTTTAAAACTGACCTTATTAGTAGATGTAGCGGAAGACATTGTTAGATAGGTACAACTATCATCATGACAATCCGTAACTAATCCACCAATACAATTCATAATTTCTTTTAGCTTAGATTTTTCACTGGAAATCATTCTTGAAGTCCCTGTTACGAGATGAACGTATTCCACCCTGTGAAAAAATTTTTGAGAACTTTTTATACATACAGAACTGTTCATCGTTATTATTTCATTTTTCATGATCTGATGGTCAAATAGTTGTAATAGAACATGTCCAGTAAAAATCGCCTTTTCACATACAATAAAAATATAAGGTCGCTATTCTAAGGTCTCCATACTGATTAAGATACACTTGAGTATTTTGTATGTTTCCAAAACTTGCCTTTTTCCGTTTTTGTTGCAAAGATAATAAATCAAGATTTATAGAGAAAAATTTTAGATCTACAATGTATTTTAGTTATCGTTTTGCGAAAAGATTAAGTACCCAAAGAGAAACTTATTATTAAAAATTATCAACATTTTTTAGCATGAGTAGCACAAAATTATGTATTATTTCACTAAATAATAATTACGTATCATGGGTACATGATGAAGGATTAGGTCAAACCTGACGTAATTTCGTTATGTGGTGACTCACAATTATTATATCATAAAATAAAATGTTTAAATGTTTAAGTGGCAATAATGTAAGGAACAGTTTTTTTTTTTTTTTTTCAGATATAACTAGGAGGGGAAATCTTCATAGACGAACATGTAAAACCCATAACAGTGTTGGATTCACCAGACAATTCTGGTGCCTACCAACTAAAAACTAACCTCCTCATAAATAGACCAACCTGTACGGTTCTGTCTTTTAGAAGCCTAATGGAAAAAGTAAGAAGGGATAGAAGGAAAAAGTAGAATGCACGTCAAAGATCAATGGTCCGCTTGCTCTGAAATGGATGAGAGGGGGGCTTTCACGCCAAGGGACAAAACAAGTGGAAAGAAGAAATTTGTGCTGCTACATAATAAACACACGCCATTATTATTATGTTAGCAGTACGCTTTATTTTACAACGTAATTTAATCACGTAGCAAGATAACACATCTGTTAAGCGATTGATGTCATTTATTGACATAATTTTGTCACGCAATAAAGATACGTAAACATTTTTAGGTTGGACAGCACGAAATATATGTGAAATGTATAAACAAGCTCATTCAAAACAGTGTTAATAAAAAGTGAATCAAGCTAATAGCTAACCATGCATTTTGCCTTAAAGTCACTTCCCTTGCCAAAATCTGCGTAATGATGCATGTTTAAATTAGAGTGGTTCGCCAGTAAACCTGAATATCTCACAAACTGGATAAAATTTTGAAAGATTGTTATAGAAGTCCCAATATACCTACACTCAATATTTCAGGCTCGCTTAGTGTAGAAAATTTGGCGTAAAAGCTCTACGAAAATTATCCTTACAAGCCAGTTGACATACGAATAGTAATCGATTTTTACCAAACCAGATAAGTAAAACCATAAAAACGCTCACGACAGTAAAATAAAAATGACAGATTTATAGCTAAGATCGCGAGCTTTTTCCTTGTACTAAAAAGTTGGGGCTTAGCGTGGATTTTACTGAGATATTTAACGGAGAAGTAGATTATTTGTTGATTTTGCCGTCTTTTTCCTACATATGGTTATATAGCACTACATATTTTACGTTTCTAGCGCATGCGCACAACGAGAACGCAAGACCTCGATGTATGTATTGTACGTACATGCATCAAGTTGCTACTACTGTGAACAAACCCACTGGCAAACCCCCTTAGTATATTTTGAACCGCTGAATCTTATCGTGTCCATGTCCATACTCTAAGTCTGCAAAAATTTCAAACAATATTTACTAAAAGATTAGATTTTCCACACAAGTTCTCATAAAGTAGTATGAAAAAATGAATTACGAATGCATTTTCTAAGGGAAAGTAATATATCTGAGCAGATACATTCTGAGGTACTTGTAGGAAGTTCTTATTTTTAATGCCACTTTGCAAAGAGCAGGTAGCAAGGCATTTTTTACGATATTTTTAAACAAAGCTTTTTTTTTTTTTTTTTGATGGTTCAAGTGAGTCATTCTTTTCATAGATTGGCTTTTTCTTCTGCCTCTGGAAATTCTTCTCAAAGGCATTAATAATTCTTTTTCCTAATATTCATCCAATTTTCAATTTATCAATAACAAAATAACAAGCACTGCATGCATGCACCGAAAGTAAAACTACACTTCTGCTACGTGTACACGTATACTTGCAGGTATGTATGCTTGACTGCAGCTGGACTTCGGCTGCCTCGAGTAACCTCGGCTGCACTCGGGTTTCGGTAATGTGACTGTCAAACTTTTTATATTTATATGTAGACAAGAAAGCTACCTTCATTTTTTGAAGAAAACTGAACTGAAGTTTAACAATAATAGGAAATCAAAAATTATGTTTCGAAAGAGGTTTTCATGAGTTGCATCAGTGTTTATATTTGGTAATCTAAGTCAACGCCAAGTTTGCGCCCGAAACGCAGTGCTCGCGGCACGTAAGCAATAGACACAAAGCAAGATAATCGCCTGAGCAGTGGTAGGCAGCCGCAGCTAGGCTCTTTATTCATCAGACCTCGAAAACTAATACTTCGCGAGCGTCTGATTCTTCGTTGAAGTACAAATAAAATACTGCGTTACCTTAACTTATGGGTTATAAATTTCTCTACACCCCCAAGTTTGGAGATTCCTGCATAACAGAAAGATGTTTGAACTCGACCTTACACTTTTGGCGCTTAACCAGGGATATTAGTTTGTGAGTGACAAGAACAATGGGAATATTTCGTTTCTTTCTTTTCCGTTGTTGGCAGGCACCCATGATGCAGCATTGAAAATACAAATAGTTAACAGGAGCAAAACAAACAGGAAAAATTTAACACAGGAGTAATTAGTGTAATGAACAATGAACAGCAGATGAGTGATTGGTAAAACAAACTGTAAGAAGTGTTCCGTCGAAAGTCAACTCCACATGTCAGCGCATGCACAACCATATATATAGGTAAGGTACTGTATAGAGAGAGAGTAAGAGCTGCAGAATGTCGCCTTTTGTTTATTCCAGCGAGCGAGCGCGATCATAGCTAGCAAGAGAGTCAGAGCATGCCAAGCTGATCCCTTGTCGATTTCCCTTTTTTTTTGTGTGCAGTGCACATTTTGTTAACCCGTCAAGTGAGTCACCAGCTTATCTTCTGATATGTTCGTTAATATTACGTAAGTACTCGCTTTATGAGCATTATATATTTGTGTCCAAGTATTAGAGCGTTGCTTTTCAAAATCGATTCGACACGTTCAGACAAACACGCGCAGGAATTCCATTACGAGAACCTCGGTGTTTCTTTGAAGCTCACAATCAAGACGCGTTTAATAAATAAATAGTGCGAGTCTAAGCTGTTGCCGTCAGTTCATGAAATTCTCTTTAAGCGCGAGAACCTTTGGTGATCGTAAATAAATGAATGGTATTAATCTCAGTTAATGTCGCGCAGCGATTGATTAGTGCAATGCGCTTGACGGTCCGTGATTGAGAGTTACATAGTGCAATATAAACTTGGATCTAGTTTAGTCGGATTCGTGAAAGTGCAATTTACTTGGTAACGAGGTGTGTATTACAACAAAGTCAGATATAAAAATAAACAGAGACACACGAGTCCTCCTTGTTTATCTCGCGAGATAATTTATCCGGGCGTGAATTTGATACATGTGCTTTGTATTCGATTATTTATAAAGCTAATCAATTTTTTTGTAATTAGACACAATTAAGGCATTCAGCCGATATAACTGATGGAAGGACAACAGTTCCGTCACTCTATATCATACCGTAAATTATGAAGTAAAGAGACATCAGTCACTTTAATTCAAGACAAGCCCATTAGGGACATTTTTGCGGTCGTTAGTGAGACAATAGTCCACGTGACTGAATACAGGCCTTTGCATGTACAGGTAAAATCCATATCATTTGTTGTTCAGCTGTTAAATTCAATGCGTTATGATTACGTCGACATGTTTCATTTGCATATATCGTTAACTGTTTCTTGGTTTTTGCGTATGATTTTTGTTCAAAATAATGAATTATATGTATCATTTACTTTTCTTTGGTTTGTAATTTTCAAACAATCAAAAAGGGTTTTTCACATGTTTTTCCTTTGCAATACGTTCTATTTCTTTGGTGATAGATATTATATGACCTAATATTTATGAAAACTTTTGGTCTAGCTTCAAAAAAGTAACATTTAGAAAACTCAAATTTTACTTAAATTATTAACAAAATAATAGATTCGATAGGAAAATCATATAAAGTAAGTATTTATTTCATACGAACCATTCACAAGTGAACGGCTTTGGTTCACTGGGAATTTATACAAAACAAGAAGTATGCGTGATTTGGGACGCTAACAGCGTAATAGCCTTCTAGGAGGCTAACATTGCTTGCACAGAATTCGAACGAGCTAGAGCAGAGAGAGAGAGAGAACTACACTATACTACACACCATCTAAAAGCACTATTTTTCTGATCCAACACGGCCACGAGGATGATAATAACTGCCCTGATTGTGGTAATATTATAAATTTGTCGTAGAAAAGTTAAAATTATATACTAAAAAGAAATTATTTTTCGAGAAAACAATATTAGGAAGAGCATAGATACATTTTAAAAAATACGACGAAAAAAAATTCAGCCACAATACGAACAATGAAGGCCCCAGCAAAATCGTTAAAAAATTTTCTCCTTATCACATGAAGTGTAACGCACACACTCACACCCACAATATACAAATATACAAAAAAAATGAAATCAAAAAATAAGTTAGGTGAGGAAGTAATAAAAAACAGCAAAAGGTGGCACGGGGCGGAAGTCATAACACATTAAAATATGCCTAAACATATAGGGTGGAAAAAGACAACGAAAGAGCGTTGCCGAATAGAAGCAATATAGTGTATAGGCAACTACCTCCAGACCTTGAGAGAGATCTTATGAAGCAAGAGAGGCTACAGAATATAAAATACACCAACACATGTCTACAGAGTGCGAAGATGAGAGAAATAGTTAGACGGGGCACGAAAAATAAGTGCCAGACTACCACAGAGTCGTAATACTCTCCTAAATACATACAGTCATTATTAGA